GTCTAGGTGGCTGCCTTCCAAATCAAAGAAGCAGATACTTCAGCTTTTCAAGTCCACATGGTTGATGTACCTTAGGAGTTTGCAGTGTTGCAGCAGTGTTGTTCCCAGCATATGAGAGACATAGTGGGTGAGAATACCTTTTAGTGCACCAACTCCTTTTGGTGAAAGAAACACGCTTTCAAGCTAACACAGACTCTTCGGGTCACAAAAGAGCTTTGTGTAAGCTTGAAAGCTTGTCTTTCACCAACAGAAGTTGGTCTACTAAGATATCACCTCACCCACCTTGCTTGTAATAGCTCAGAAGTGACATTTGACAAACTTTGGATGTGGTTTGTGAGCATGGACATAGATAGCATGTGAACTTTTACCTAGAGGGAAATGGAGGTCTTGGATATAGCCTTCTTCTTGTTACTGTCCTTAGAGCAGATGGATAGTTATTTATATTTCAAAAGTGCTTTTGCATTATATAGGTTAAACTTGATCACTCGCTTTATATTCAGTGTGGAGTTTTCACTCCTGAGTGGTTGAAGCCTTTAGACAGTGCATAGATAAGACAGTGGGTTCATTAACATAAGAGTCCACATTATGCTTTTAGATAAACTCTGTCTAGGAGAAAGCAAAACACTGCTTAATCCTGAAAAAAAAAAAAAAAAAAAAAAAGAAGAAGATGCATGGAGAGATAGCAAGGGCTCTACTTGGTGCTCCTATATTTCAAAGTAGAGTTACAGCAATTACAAATGCTACATTAAAAGTGAGTAGTTTTGGGGCATTCTCTCTCAAAGATTCATTAGCACATTCAAAAATGAAAAAAGACCCACTGTGAAATTATTGGCCTGTATTTAAGTTATAAAAAATATAAGAGCTGCTTTCTGGGATATAATATCCTGACTCTACAGAGGACCAAAAAAATTGCTGGGGCATGCACTTAGTGGTTATTCACCTTAAGACCTTTTGTGAATCCTATCAACCAAAACCTGAGAGTGTGCTGAAGTAAACAGGAATAAATGTCAATGTGATTCTCTTGTACCTACTAGGGAAGACATTCCTGATTCCATAGTATGTACTAGAAGTGGACTTCTGATTGCATCACATACTTTACACTGTCCACTGAAAAGGCTTTCTATAGCTATCAGAGATGCTTATCTTTATAGGCTGTTAGAGATAGATGGTCTGGACTGCAGTATTGAATGGATCTTCGGGTTAGATTTAAAGATCTTGTCTGAAAGCTATGTTCTATAAATAAAGACAGACCACTCATGATGTCAGAGAATGAAGGATGTCAAGGACACCTGGGCAAAAACAAAATTACATCCTGCCTGACTTTCCATAGTATCTTGGGAATCTGAAGAATGGGTGGGTGAGGAGCAGTCCAGCTCCATGCTCCAATCCTCAGATATTCTAGGCAATTTGCCGAAATCTGGGGCATTTATTCAACTGGTTCGTCTCTAATAAGATATCAGAACTTCGCAGATACTTCAACTGCAGTGTGCTGGGGATGCAAACATTGTTTCAAAATATGGGATGCTTTGCTAAGTCCAACTTCTGAGACATTCTCCTTGCCCCTGACGACGACTGCTATAAGGAAAGCAATATGGGATTCTGCCTAAACACAAAAGCAGAAGGCTTCTGACAGGAGCTGATGGCTGTGAGTACCCCTTGCCAGTTTACATATGCCACTGGAGCTTGTTTGTCACACTGGACTAAGATACTGTGTTGAGCTAGCAGTGGTTCCCAGGCAAGAAGAGCTAAGCATATTACCAGTAACTCCAATGCATTCAAGCACTAACAGAGTGCCCAAATGGACACCTCAGCCTGGCATCCAAGATTATGCAGATAAGACAAGAGAGGAAGGGGGAAAAGGCAAAAGCCAAGACCTGCTAAAAGTTTAGTGGTGAGGAAAGTGATTTTAGCAGGATCTTTCAAGTTCTGTGGGATAGGGAAAAGAATTCCTCCAAGAAGGAAAGTGTGCAATCTTATGGAGGAGGAAAGTCTTCAATGGATGGAGATTAAATCAAGGGCACCAAATACAAAACAGAGAGCTGGAGAATATGCCTGGCCAGATCTGATCTACTGTCCCCCACTCGGGGGAACCGCTGCACTGGGGCACTTGAAGCAGCTGAACAGAGTGTGCATGTCTACACTTACCATTGATCGACACTGTGGTGATCGATCCACCGGGAGTTGATTTAGTGTGTCTAGTGAAGACCCACTAAATCGACCGCAGATCGCTCTCCAGTCGACTCCGGTACTCCACCAGAACGAGACGCATAAGGTAAGTTGACAGGAGAGTTTCTCCTGTCAACCGAGCACGGTGTAGACACTGCAATAAGTCGACCTAAGCTACGTCGACTCCAGTTACATTATTCACGTAGCTGGAGTTGCGTAACTTAGGTCAACTTAACCCCGTAGTGTAGACCTGCCCTCAGAAGGGACCAACAAAGTCAGTCAACATAGGGAGAGGTAAGAAAAAAAGAGTCTTAACACTAGCATGAATACCCATCTTCTGAGAGAAGGTTTTACTCAATGGGTAGCCAATCACGCAACCTCTGAAAAGTGGTGAACTGCCTCTGGTATTCAGTCTAATGAGGCCAGAAGGGAGGAATTGTTCTCTTTGATGCTGCCCTTTTTGACCCTTGCTCTTCTCTTTCTCCAAATACTTTCTTTGCCCTGATTTTCTTCCTTGCCTGCTTCATTCCATCTTGCTAGGAAAATAAAGGGGGAAGGAGGACTAAGGTAACTGCTGTTCCTTGCTTATTGCATGTAGTAGGCGGAAAAAAGGCCGAAGACCGAAAAGGGGATACTACAGTAGGTACACTACAGAGGGTAGAGAATTAAATTACAAGGTCTCAAATTCAAAACTAATAAAAGGAAATACTATTTTAATTCAACACAGTTTAGCCTGCAAAACTCAGGACCACAAGGTATCACTGAGGCCAAGCACTTAGCAGGATTCTAAAAATTATTAAACCTATGTAGATAACATGAATATCAGGGTTATAAAAGTAAATATTAAGCAAAAAACAAACAAGGGCTCTGGAAGGGATTCAAGTCCTTAAAATGAGGGCATAATCCAACCTCTAACTCTTGCGCGTTATAAGGAAACTTTCCATGGGGGGCAGAGTGTCCCATAATTGCCTACTAAAGGGTTTATTTTCCTGAAGCAGTTGGTACTGGCCACTGTCAGACCTAGGGTTCTACAAAGGACCACTGGTCTGATGCAGTATGGCAATTCCTAAGTTTCTATAGACAGAGTTAAGTACTGCAGATAATTGACAAATGTTGAATCCTTATCAGTGGAGCCATAAAGATGACAATCAAGACATTAGCAGACAAGATGAGAGAAGAAAGTAAACTGGAAAGTTCCTGGCAGGATGGAGGAGGAGGAGGAAAATGCTCATATTATAGTAGTCAATTACAAATGGCAAGATAAAGCAGCTTATTGCTACTGTTTGGCTCCACAAAAGGATTTCCCTCAATTTTGTCAGTTCATTTCAGCACCTGCAAGAAAGGACATAATGTTAATTAATTTTGATTTCACAGGCTCAATAAGGTGACTGAAAAGTTGGTAAGAGGGAATCTTTGGACTCTTCTGGGTTCTGCCACTTTCAATGGCTGAAACTTGCAGAACCACCCAGAAAGTTTACTTGGAGACCATTTATAGCAGCACAAGACAGCTGGAATCTTTATGCCTGTTGTGTGAGCAAAGGTAACCAAAAAGGAGCATGGACAATGCACACAGGAGATATGTTGATTCAGTGCATCTCCTTGAAAGCTTCATCTGGTGCAGCTCCAATGGTGCAGTAGTTTTTACCCATCTGTGGCAGAATCCCCAGAGGAGGGGTAAGGTGATGGTGTAACTCACTGTGGCACACTTGTGTAAGGGCTAATAAAGCCCTTTTTCTTCAGTTTCTTCCTCTGGAGTGTTCCAATCGATATCTGAAATCTCACTGGACATTTATAGGGTGTTAGGAGGAGGAAGGTCATCAAACTTGTTTTAAGGGTATTTTGGTAATGACACACAAAAGCTTCTCTTGTAACTTTATTAATATTTGAATTCTTTAACAAGGGTCTCAAAATACATCCTATGAAGGAAATATGAAAACAAATATGCGAGTTGGTATAGGAAACTACAGAGCAAATACCACGCTTTTGAAATGTAACGACACTGCATAGCTCTGACCCAAGCATAGCTCTGACCCAAGCATCACATGTATGCCCAAGTCAAACATTTTTGCATAAGGACGTCAAATGATAAGATGCTGGAGGTCCCATAACTGCTATTTTCTAAAACAGGTATATAATTAGGTTTGTGCAGAACTTTATTAACTTACCCACTCTTCCCAGTTTGCCAACTTTTCAGCCCTTTCCTCAGCTTCTTTACGCTCCTGTTCAGCATTTTCTTCTGCTTCTTTGGCAAGGCGTGCCTCAGCTGCTTTGTGTTCTAGTTCTTCCTTTTCTTCATCTGTCAAACCATAATTTCGAGGTTCTCCAGTTTCTTTGATGATCTCTTTTACAATAAATTTGTTCTCAGGATCCTCAAACTTTGCTACATCTTTTAAACATAAGAACAAAGAACATACGTATCCTCATTAATTATGGGGGAAAGGGAATTCAATGATTATTGTGAGACCTTTAAAATATATTTGATATATTAGTTAAGGTTGGCCAACACTTTCCATTATAAAGAACCTGTTTTCAGTTGTGATAAACTGTGTCAAACTTTAACCATCTTGGTTAAATTATGCCAGGTGTCTGCTCGGGCTGACACATAACATTTCAGCTAAAATGGCTGTCATTTCTGAGAATGAGATAGGAAAAAATATTGTTTTGCCCCCTATTAAATAAATTCTTACAACTGTTTTGTTGAGAAACTCTAGCACCCCCATACTTTGGAGCAAGGGCTTGAAATTTGGCAAGGGGGTGGCCTGCTGTCAGGAATGAGTGTTTTACCATCCCTGCAAAAGTTCATCCATATTTGGCCAAGTGATGAGACTCTGAGGGAAAAATGCAGTTCAGATTTAGGAGAGACTTGTTAACCAGTTCTCAAGATGCCATCCGTAGTGAGGATGTTCCATCCCCACACAGATCCTATCTGTGAGTAGACTGTACATTCACAATCCCCACAGAGTGATTCATTGTGCATGCTGCAACAAGGCCGCAGAGACTGAGCAAGGTGCCTTGTAATTGCTCTTCCACTCTGCTGGGTTTGCTGTGGCAGTGGACACTGGCACTGAGAGCAGGGTGACTGTCTCTGTGCTCAACACTGCCTCTACTGGTGCCCAGGCAACATGGAGCAGCCTGACATGAATGCTAGGGGGTGAGGGACAGGAGGCAGAAGGAGTGGCAGAAGGTGAATAGAAGCAGGAAGGAGAGTGGGTTGCAGGAGCTGGAAGGTCCAGGCAAGTAGGGTTTTTTATGGGGAGGGGGTGTTAAATAAGCACAGAGGGGGATGAGGGCTGGTGCAAAGGAACTGGGAAGGGTTTGGATAGGGGCTGGGGGAGGGTAAGAAGGACAAGATGGGGCACAAGGGTTTATAAATACTAGAATACACCAAGAACCTGGAATGGAACCCAGGAGTCCTGAGTCTCTGCTTTCCTCTGCTGTCATACCCACAAGCAAAGTGTGTGTGTCTCATCCCCATCTATTGGCTGGTCCATATAGAAGATGACAGCATACTACTGCTAACAGTTACTCTATTACCTCAACTGGTAGAGGGCTCTATACCCCTGATCTAGAGGTCCAAACCCTGCTGATGACCCAGGATTGGGTCAATATGATACCACAGGATGGAATTTCTCTTTTTTCAGTTTTTTAAATAATAAATTACATTTAAAAAAATTAAAATACTAAATTTACAAAGTAAAGACACTCCAGAACTAAGGTTGTCTACAATCTTAATTTACCGCTTGTGTATATGAATGATGACAGTCTTTAATTAGATGATCACATATTCTTTTTCCCCACAGGGCCCCTAACAACAATACTGTAGTATTGTTACCTTACTGCGTTATAGGTGAAACCGCGTTATATTGAACTTGCTTTGATCCGCCGGAGTGCGCAGCCCCGCCGTCCCGGAGCGCTGCTTTACCGCATTATATCCGAATTTGTGTTATATCGGGACGCGTTATATTGAGGTAGAGGTGTATTAACCATGGATAGAAACTTCAGTATCACATGGTCTCCAGTTCTGCTATTCATCTATCCTTCTAAAGTATTTCTAACACCTCTATCAGCATGGTATCTAAGTACTATCACTTCCCAGCAAAGATTTTTCTCAAATGGTGAACCGTTAAGACTGCAATATAAATGCTACAGAAGTCATACTTAACTGCATAGCCTCAGAAATATACTTGTCTTTTTAAATAAGAGCTGAGATTAGCACTGACACAGAGGATACATCTACATAGCCCACAGCAGTGAGCCTCTGAGCCCACGTAAACAGACTCTAGCTTGTGGGGCTCATGCTAGTGGTCTAAAAATAGAAGCCCACCACCCTCTCAAGGCTTCAGAGCCTGAGCTCAGCCCAAGCTGCAACTTCAAGCACCATCTACACAGCTATTTTTAGAGGGCTAGCATGAGCCCTGCAACCCCAAGTCCTTCAACAGGGGCTGGGAGGATCATTGCCCTAGCCTGTGCAGGCGCACCCTTAAGGGGTCACAAAAACTGGGGTAGGAGAGCACCAGAGCTCAAATATTTTCATTATTTCCCCATGTGCTCTCCTATACACTTTGAATGGGAGGGACAATAGAATAGATGCTTCTGAAATACAATATAAGAACCCTCAGGACACACAAAAAATTACCTAATATTACCCTCTGGGACTTCTTAGGGGAAAAAAGAAATGGAATCCCTCATGAGCAACTACACTTCATGGTCAGTGTGACAGATCTGAAAGGATCAACATGGACACATGGTCTTTTCTACCAGTACAAGTAGCACAATCTCTGTACCATATTTATAGAATCATAGGACTGGAAGGGACCTCAAGAGGTCTGTAGATGGTCTCCTCAAGGACTGAATGGAAGAAAAAAAACATCTGGGGACTCCAGGTATCACCAGTATTGTTCCACCATAACGTTCTCATAATCTGAGTCCACAAAAGGGACATTCAAGACAGGGTGATAATTAGTGTGATTATCCATATCAAGGTATAGCTTTTTTGTGCACAGGCTGAAAATAGATTCTTTAAGCAATGCTGGCATCCTGCTCTCACTTTGTTTCTGAATAATCAGGCTAGATTCACCAACCCCAAGAGTTCCAGTGATCAGGTTTTGTGGATGGTATGTTGGAAGAATTTTTTTGGGGGGTGGGGATTTCAAAAATTCCTTATGTCATAGTCAGTCAGAAGCATTACAAGATTTCCCTCACCAGTGCCCTAGCCATCTTCATGTTCGTCTGTTGCAGATCATTTATATATAATCATGACTTGTGAGAACAAAGCTGAGGAAAAGGTTTATTGGGAGTCATGATATTGAAAATCAAGGACTGGACATTACTGTACTAATTCACCAGACCATCAATAGTGGGGTCTGTGTTCTCATTATAAAAGGATAGTTCACTTAGCCTCCAAAAGTGGACCTTTAAAATGGGTACATTGTATGAGCCAATGGCAGTTAGATGTACATTTCCCCAAATTATAAGAGTAAACAAACACTCCTGCAGTAGTGCAAGCACGTTCTTAGATTTGTACTCCAGTGACCATTAAAATATGCCATTTTATCTTTGTAAAAATATTGTATTATTTCCATGGAAGAAAAATATACTATGTTTCTAATGGTTTATATAAAAGTTTGCTTTTATTCCATACCAATAAACTGTGGATGTATTTCAAGTTCATCAAAATAGTTGAGAACAGTCTCATCTTCAGTGTTTAACTCCCTGAAGAGACTGAGAGTTCTCAAGAACCGGTCCTGAGTATAATGAGTTCCAGCCACAACACTCTCTGGAAGATTCATTACTCGGTTTTTTAGGAATTCATCTGAGGCATTCAATGAAATAACATATTCTGTGGGAAAAAAAACATTTTTGAGAGTTAGATGCAATGTCATAATTTTTGTTTTATTTTTCTGCTATCACTAGATATCATCTATGAATAACAAATTCCAAATTACTAGTGAATAGAAACAGATGTCAAATCTTTAAATCTCTCCATACAAAACAGCATTACAGAATGCTCTGTCTCCAACTGTACACCTGTAGCAATTCACCAGTATTTAACAGTAAAGAAAAGTGCTTTGGAAAGAACCCTGATGTTCCAAAGTTATCTCAGTTAAAAACTGTAAAGTTTAACTCCAAACTATGGACCACATCCTACCACCCTTACTTATTGAACTCATTGGACTATTCGCGGAGTAAGGGACTACTCAACATGAGTAACAGTGGCAGAATCTAGTCCTAAAGCCCCAAAGAAAGCTACTATACACAACAGTCAAAATGTTTTAAATAGTAAAATCTGAAAAGATCTATGTGAATTGTGTGGTCAATGCAGTAAATAGGACTGGAAAACTTAATAACTCATCTATTCAAAAGACCCCAAGGACTGGATTACTATAGACTGGGATTTCTAATCTCATAAATAAATGTACCTATGCTTGGATTAAGTAAACTATCTTGCACCCAAGCAGTACATAAAAATAAAATATGCCAGATGCAATATAATTTAGTATCACTGTTATCTGTAGTACAGTGGTAGGGAAAAATACTGGAAGGGCATGTGAAAACATTTTACTTTGTATTAGTTTAACAGTCTCAAATTTTTATTCTTTATAAAATAAAATCTTTATTCATATCTTTATTCAGCTTCAGTGAAAATGCTACCTACGCTGACAGGTTGGCTTCTCTTGTCGGTGTAGGTAATCCACCTCCCTGAGAGGCAGTAGCTATGTTGACAGGAGAAGCCCTCCCATTGACATCACGCTGTCTACACCAGGAGGTAATCAGTATAACTGTGTTACTAGGAGTGTGGATTTTCCATGCTCTTGAGCAACATAGTTATACGGACATAAGTTGCTAGTGTAGACTTAGGGCAGCGCTTTAACGTGGCTTGTGCACGGTCTACACTGGTGCTCTACAGCGCTGAAACTTGCTGCGCTAAGGGGGATGTTTTTTCACACCCTTGAGCGAGAAAGTTGCAGCGCTGTAAATTGCCAGTGTAGACAAGCCCTAAACCTCAGATAAAACTGCCATTAAAGTAAAAGGAAATAGGGACAAATTTATTTAATTTTATACATACTATTGTAAATTGGTGAAGCAGTTTAGCAAAGTCAGGCAGTCACATCTCTTTTCTCAGTGAGAAATGTATAGAACCAGGTACAGCATAACAGTTAGTAAATTTCAGAAAACGAACAAAAATGCTTCCCAGCTCAGCACAGCCATGGGTTGAGAGTGCAAGAGTCATACAGTCACTCTTCTTTTCTTGGAACAGCTGTGTTTTTAGATCTCCCCTGCAGATCCTGTTGCCAGGGTCAGCATAGTGCATCACAATGATTACAATGATTTATTTGTGTTTTCACTTTAAAAATGTGGACTGCAAGTGTCTCAATTTATGACTAGAAGAAGCTGCTTGCTTCAGAAGTTAGTGCTTCATCATCTGTTGCTGTCTGTCTAGAGGTCTGGACCAAATCTTTGTTCCAATGAGATTAGGGCCATTATATGCTTAAATCCAGCAACAGAAGGAGTGCTTGTTAATGGTGAGCGTATTCTTTTAAAACTCTGTCCTTTGTAGTATAGTAAACTTACCGGGAGTGATTAATTTATCATAGCGAGGCACTTTGCTTCTTGTCTCTTCTTCTTCCTCATCACCTTCAACTAAAATAAAAGTACAACATAATTAACACTGACACCTGAAGAAACTATATTACTAACATTAATTAAAGAGGTGCTAGTAACATTACCTGTCCTTTATGTAGTACCAGTTCTTTATATGGTCAAATGACACTAACTAATGAATCCTGACAGCACCATTTGAGATAGGTGGGTAAATAATTCAGAAAAAAAGTTTAGATACTTCTAAATAAGAAACACAAATGAGGCTAGATCTTCATGATTCAGAAGAGTCAAAAGAGTTCTATTGTTTAAAATTAGCTTGGTACATTCTCTCTCTCTCTCTCTCTGTATATTTTGCACATAGCTATGGTATATGAACATCTTCTGACACAGAGATCCTGCCAGCCACTGCAGGATTCTGCTATGAGACACACTTTACTACTTCTCTGTGCAGGAGCAGCATGCACACCCACCATCTGCTGGCCAACTCCTGCTGCTGGCAAGAGAACATATACTAGCTGTTTTGGGGGGCTGAGGTGGACATGTCTCCTAATGTGTAGACAATGCCTGCTTAGAGACTTGGGGAAAGATCCTCAACTTGTGTAAATCACATATCTCCATTGACTTCAGTGATTTTCAGTTATGCTGATTTACATGAACTGAAGATTTGGGCTGCCCCATTAGCTGGACTCTTTTCTTACAGCAGTCCTGTGGAATTCTTACATAGGTGGAATAGGCTCCTATACTATTTCCCCCCAACCACTATACATTAGCTCAGCACACAGAAGGACTGAACCCTCCATGTTTGTATATTTATTTATTCATTTATTTGCCAGGATGGATATTTTGAAAACACTGTCTTCCTTAACTAAAATGAAGTGATGTACAATCCTTTAATTGTAAGCTTCTTGGGAAAGAGGCTGTTTTTATATTTGTGTCATACAGCAATCAGCACAGTGCTGGTGGTGAACATATAACAAATAATAATACTATGCATAGAATCACAGAACTGGAAGGGACCTCGAGAAGTCATCTATTCCAGTCCCCTGTACTCGTGGCATGACTAAGTATTATCTAGATCATTCCTGACAGGTGTTTGTTTAACCTGCTCTTAAAACTCTCCAATGATGGAGATTCCACAATCTCCCTAGGCAATTTATTCCAGTGCTTAACCAACCTGACAGTTAGGAAGTTCTTCCTAATGTCCAACCTAAACCGCCCTTGCTGCAATTTAAGCCCATTGCTTCTTGTCCTATCTTCAGAGGTTAAGAAAAACAATTTTTCTTCCTCCTCCTTGTAACAACCTTTTACATACTTGAAAACTATTATCATGTCCCCTCTCAGTCTTCTCTTTTCCAGACTAAACAAACCCATTTTTTTCAGTCTTCCCTCAGAGGTCATGTTTTCTAGACCTTTAATAATTTTTGTCGCTCTTCTCTGGACTCTCTCCAATTTGTCCACATTCTTCCTGAAATGTGGTGCTCAGAACTGGACACAATACTCCAGTTGAGGCCTAATCAGCACAGAATAGAGCGGAAGAATTATTTCTCGTGTCTTGCTTACAATACTCCTGCTAATACATCCCAGAAAGATGCTCACTTTTTTTTGCAACAGCATTACACTGTTGACTCATATTTTGCTTGTGGTCAACTATGACCCCCAGATCCCTTTCAACAGTACTTCTTCCTAGGCCAGGGGTCGGCAACCTTTGGCACGCAGTTCACCAGGGAAAGCACTCTGGCGGACCTGGCCGGTTTGTTTACCCGCCGCGTCCGCAGGTTCGGCCGATCGTGGCTCCCATTGGCCGCGGTTCGCCGTCCCAGGCCAATGGGGGCGGCGGGAAGCGGCGCAGGCCGAGGGACGTGCTGGATAGACTTTACAAAAACTAGACAAGCCATTTACAACACAAACTTTGCCTCTCTACAAAGGAAAAAGGACACTAAACTATCTAAACTGCTACATGCCACAAGGAGCCACTACAGTAGTTCCCTTAACCCACCAAACAATATTGTTAATCTTTCCAGCTATTCTCTTAGCCCAGCAGAAGAGTCTGTCCTATCTCGGGGCCTCTCCTTTTGTCCCTCCAGACCCACGAACATGATACAGTTCTGCGGTGACCTAGAATCCTACTTTCGACGTCTCCGACTCAAAGAATATTTCCAACATACCTCTGAACAGCATACTAACTCACAGAATCCTCCCTACCAGCACAACAAAAAAAAGGATTCTGCGTGGACTCCTCCGGACGGTCGAAACAACAGACTGGACTTCTACATAGAATGCTTCCGTCAACGTGCAAAGGCTGAAATTGTGGAAAAGCAACATCACTTGCCCCATAACCTCAACCGTGCAGAACACAACGCCATCTACAGCCTCAGAAACAACTCTGACATCATAATCAAAAAGGCTGACAAAGGAGGTGCTGTCGTCATCATGAATAAATTGGAATACGACCAAGAGGCTGCTAGACAGCTCTCTAACACCACATTCTACAGGCCATTATCCTCTGATCCCACTGAGGATTACCTAAAGAAACTACACCATCTGCTAAAAATACTCCCTGACAAAGCACAGGAACAAATCTGTACAGACACATGCCTAGAACCCCGACCAGGGGTATTCTATTTGCTACCCAAGATCCATAAACCTGGAAATCCTGGACACCCCATCATCTCAGGCATTGGCACCCTAACATCAGGATTGTCTGGCTATGTGGACTCTCTCCTCAGGCCCTACGCTACCAGCACTCCCAGCTATCTTCGAGACACCACTGACTTCCTGAGGAAACTACAATCCATCGGTGATCTTCCAGAAAACACCATCCTGGCCACTATGGATGTAGAAGCCCTCTACACCAATATTCCACACAAAGATGGACTACAAGCTGTGACGGGTTGGATCACAGAAACCCCCTTGGGAGCTGCCACCTGATGTGCAAAGACTACCTCTGCTCCTGTTTTCCCTGCCAGCTCAGGACTCCAGCACCCTGTCTTGCTGAGCCAGACACTCCTGTCTGCTCCAACACAGACCCAGGGTTTGAATCACTTGTCCCAAAGCTGCAAGTTTACCTGAAAACAGCTCACAGAAGTGTGCTTGTCTTTAGCACTCAGATGCTCAACTCCCAATGGGGTCTAAACCCAAATAAATCCGTTTTACCCTGCATAAAGCTTATGCAGGGCAAACTCATAAATTGTTCGCCCTCTAGAACACTGATAGAGAGATATGCACAGTTGTTTGCTCCCCTACGTATTAATACATACTCTGAGCAAATTACTAAATAAAAAGTGATTTTATTAAATACAGACAGTAGGATTTAAGTGGTTCCAAGTAGTAACAGACAGAACAAAGTAAGTCACCAAGCAAAATAAAATAAAATGCACAAATCTATGTCTAATCAAACTAAATACAGATTCTCACCCTCAGAGATGCTTCAGTAAGTTTTTCTCAGACTGGACACCTTCCAGGCCTGGGCACAATTCTTTCCCCTGGTACAGCTCTTGTTCCAGCTCAGGTGATAGCTAGGGGATTCTTCATGATGGCTCCTCTCTCCCTTTGTTCTCTTCCACCCCTTTATATATCTTTTGCATAAGGCGGGAACCCTTTGTCCCTCTGGGTTTCCACCCCACCTCACTGGAAAAGCACCAGGTTAAAGATGGATTCCAGTTCAGGTGACATGATCACATGTCACTGCAAGACTTCATTGCCCACTTGCCAGCATACACATATACAGGAAGACTAACAGGTAAACACAGTCATCTGCAGACAATGGTCCTGGTTAATGGGAGTCATCAAGATTCCAAACCATCATTAATGGCTCACACTTTACATAATTACAATAGGCCCTCAGAGTTATGTTTTATATTTCTAGTTTTAGATACAAGAGTGGTACATTTCTGCAAATAGGATGATCACACTCAGTAGATTATGAGCTTTGTAATGATACCTTACAAGAGACCTTTTGCACGAAGCATATCCCAGTTGCATTATATTCACTTATTATCATGTTTTTATAAAACCATATAGACTGCACAATGTCACACAAGCTATCAGGAACAGTATCCCCGATAATGTCACAGCTAACCTGGTGGCTGAACTTTGTGACTTTGTCCTCACCCACAACTATTTCACATTTGGGGACAATATATACCTTCAAGTCAGCGGCACTGCTATGGGTACCCGCATGGCCCCACAGTATGCCAACATTTTCATGGCTGACTTAGAACAACGCTTCCTTAGCTCTCGTCCCCTAACGCCCCTAGTCTACTTACGCTACATTGATGACATCTTCATCATCTGGACCCATGGAAAAGAAGCCTTTGAGGAATTCCACCATGATTTCAATAATTTCCATCACAGCATCAACCTCAGCCTAGATCAATCCACACAAGCGGTCCATTTCCTGGACACTACTGTGCTAATAAGCGATGGTCACATAAATACCACCCTATACCGGAAACCTACTGACCGCTATACTTACCTACATGCCTCCAGCTTCCATCCAGGACACACCACATGATCTATTGTCTACAGCCAAGCTCTAAGATACAACCGCATTTGCTCCAATCCCTCAGACAGAGACAAGCACCTACAAGATCTCTATCAAGCATTCTTAAAACTACAATACCCACCTGCTGAAGTGAAAAAACAGATTGACAGAGCCAGACGAGTACCCAGAAGTCACCTCCTACAAGACAGACCCAACAAAGAAAATAACAGAACACCACTAGCTGACACCTTCAGCCCCCAACTAAAACCTCTCCAGCGCATCATCAAAGATCTACAACCTATCCTGAAAGATGATCCCTCACTCTTACAGATCTTGGGAGACAGACCTGTCCTTGCTTACAGACAACCCCCCAAGACAACCCCCCAACCTGAAGCAAATACTCACCAGCAACCACACATCACTGAAGAAAAACACTGACCCAGGAACCTATTCTTGCAACAAAGCCCGATGCCAACTCGGCCCACATATCTATTCAAGTGATACCATCATAGGACCTAATCACATCAGCCATGCCATCAGGGGCTCGTTCACCTGCACATCTACCAATGTGATATATGCCATAATGTGCCAGCAATGCCCCTCTGCCATGTACACTGGCCAAACTGGACAGTCTCTACGCAAAAGAATTAATGGACACAAATCTGACATCAGGAATCATAACATTCAAAAACAGTAGGAGAACACTTTAACCTGTCTGGTCATTCAATGACAGACCTGCGGGTGGCAATTTTGCAACAAAAAAGCTTCAAAAACAGACTCCAGCGAGACACTGCTGAGCTTGAATTGATATGCAAATTAGATACAATCAATTTAGTCTTAAATAGAGACTGGGAATGGCTGAGCCATTACAAACATTGAATCTATCTCCCCATGTAAGTACTCTCACACTTCTTATCAAACTGTCTGTACTGGGCTATCTTGATTATCACTTCAAAAGTTTTTTTTTTCCCCTCTTACTTAATTGGCCTCTCAGAGTTGGTAAGACAACTGCCACCTTTTCATGCTCTCTGTATGTGTATATATATCTCCTCAATATATGTTGCATTCTATGCATCCAAAGAAGTGGGCTGTAGCCCACGAAAGCTTATGCTCAAATAAATCTGTTAGTCTCTAAGGTGCCACAGGTACTCCTGTTCTCTTTGGGAATGGTTTTCCAACCAGTTTTGCACCTACCTTATAATAGCTCCGTCTAGATTGCATTTTCCTAGTTAGTTTATGAGACTGTCATGCGAGACAGTATCAAAAGCTTTACTAAAGTCAAGATATACCATGTCTACCACTTCCCCCCATCAACGAGGCTTGTTACCCTGTTAAATAAAGCTATCAAGTTGGTCTGACATGATTTGTTTTTGACAAATCTATGCTGACTGGTACTTATCACCTTATTATCTTCTAGATGTTTGCAAATTGATTGCTTAATTATTTGCTCCATTATCTTTCCGGGTACAGAAGTTAAGCTGACTGGTCTGTAATTCCCTGGGTTGTCCTTATTTCCCTTTTTATAAATTGGCACTTTATTTGCCCTTTTCCAGTCTTCATACATACACAACAAATACAGCAGAACTCTGTAACTTACGATTAAATAGATCTTTTGCCTGGTCATAAGTCTTTGGAAACCCATCCAAAATATATCCTTGATTCTTGCAAGGCATAGATTTTAGCTTTTCTTTCATGAATTTAATCACATACTGATCATCTAGACGACCTGAAAATTTAACATATGCATTCAAATAGAGTTAACCTATGTATAGTTTATGTGGAAGATGAACATCTGAAAGATTTTACTAACATTTTTATACACTTGTCAGAGTCTTTGAGTTAAGATCTTAGAATGCCTAACAATCTGCTTGGGATCACTATTTGATAATACTCAGAATCACCTATGGTAATATGTATTGATATGTTTCAGAGCCTTCAGAGTACCACAAAATTATCAGGTATAAATGAAAGACTCCTTCCATAAAACTGTTTACGTTTGACGAGTTTAACTATTATCCCGAGATCAAAGGAGTAAAATAAATAAATAAATGAGACATAGTAGTATAACATACTGGTAACCGCCAGGGACTTGTAGTGTCTCTTGAAGCATCTAGAATTAATTTCTGAGTTTACTTGACAAAACAAAAAAACATTTAGAGAGAGGACTGTAGCAGAACAGTTAAGTTTGCAAAATGTTGGATTTTACTAAGGGTCTCAAACAGATTTACAAACAAACACATATTCAATTTGTTATTAAAACACTTGGAAAAAGCCATGTGAGACAGGTATTATGCTCACTCAGATGGGTAAACTGAGGCACAAAGTAGTTTTAGTGATTTGGCCCAGGTCATTGAATAAACGTTACAATACCCCAAATGTCAAAACCCCAATGTCCTGGGAATAAAACTCAGATTCTTACTTCTTCTGTAATCATGACTCCAACTCCCTCCCCTTCCCTTTGCTTCATTTTTAAAAAGTCTTAATTAAATATATATAAGCCACTGTAATCAAAATATTTTGATTGTAAAAGGTTTCATTGTTTTAACAATAAAGCAAAGCCACACAAGAGATGATGCAGCAGTGCTCATTAATGCACTCCTTGGGTGAGCTACAAGCTGTGACAGACCCAGACCAGTGGGGTACAGGAGTCTGGTAGAGGGCAAATATACTGGTCACTGGATGAGTATTTTTCTGTTCCCTGAGTGACCAGAGCAGGGGCTGCACTAGAGTAATCAGGAACCTGCTAGAACCAGTTAAGGCAGGCAGGCTAATTAGAACACCTGGAGCCAATTAAGAAGCAGCTGCTAGAATCAATTAAGGCAGGCTAATCAGGGCACCTGCGTTTTAAAAGGAGCTCACGTCAGTTTGTGGTGGGAGTGGGAGGAGCTGGGAGCAAGAGGTGCAAGGAGCTGAGAGGGTATGCTGTTGGAGGACTGAGGAGCACAAGCGTTATCAGACACTAGGAGGAAGGTCCTGTGATGAGAATAAGGAAGGTGTTTGGAGGAGGCCATGGGGAAGTAGCCCAGGGAGTTGTAGCTGTCCTGTAGCTGTTACAGGAGGCACTATAGACAGCTGCAGTCCACAGGGCCCTGGGCTGGAACCCGGAGTAGAGAGCGGGCCTGGGTTCCCCCCAAACCTCCCAATTGACTTGGACTGTGGGTTCTTCCAGAGGGGAAGGTCTCTGGGCTGTTCCCCAACCCACATGGTGAATCTCTGAGGCAAGAAAATCCGCTAATAAGCGCAGGACCCACCAAGATAGAGGAGGAACTTTGTCACAAAGCATATGACTTTGCAGACAAAGCATGCATTAATTAGGCAAAAGGATGCATCATACAGTGCTTTTTCATGGGAAATCATTGCAGACCTCAGTAGTGTTAAGAAGCACAAGGCCAAAAGCACACATGACTTTAGCCACAAATAATAATTAAAACACTTAGATGGCACTTTTTCCATCCAGAGGCCTGAAAGCATTTTACAAATATGGGTAAGCATTATTTACCCTTCACCAAAGGGGAGGGAGGGGAAACAAAAAACAAAAAGTTAATTGTTTTTTTTCCCCCAAGGTTAGTTGCAATCAAGAAACCCAGTAAGACCTGGCTAGCTTTTTATTTTAAGCGACATTAATTAGGCTGTCACATCTGAAAGGTAAGCATGATATAATTAATTAGAAAATATTCTTGCCAAGAATCTAGAGAGACTGAATATAGAGCTGTAAGTAAAATGTCAGTTTGTAGTGTCAAAAGTCATATACATTTTTAAACCCTGGAAAGCTATTATAATAGTAGAAATTCTTTCTTGATGTTTTTATTGTTTTCTATTTATATTTTTATGCAGCCCTTTTAACAGGCACATTAGGTCAAATTCTGCCCCATTACTCTCATACAACCCCAATCATTTCAGTGGAATTGCACAAAGGTAAGTGAGGTTAAGGTTCATAATGCTGCAAAAGGGGGCATGACCCTTGCCTTCAATGGGAGCTATAAGGCCTAAAGGAACAGGTACAAATCAATTTCCTGATTTTTTTCATTTGTATAAAAGTTACATCTATTAACTAAAATCCAGGCTCCCATTATCAATCCTTTCATGCCTTACCTCCATTCTGCTCCATGTTTTCTTTGACTCCATCTAAGAGTTCTTGTGCCTCTTCTATAGTGTCCCCTTCTTCTTCATCTTCTTCTCCCTCCTCACCCACCTCTTCAGTTTCCACTGTTTCTTTAGGAGCAATAATTTTCTCCTATATTCCCCCCCCCAAAAAAAGGTTCAAAAATAGTTTGGCTAAATTCTGCCTTTGGTATTAGACAGGTATAATTAAGGACAACATTTGGGCCACTATCTGCATCTTAGTATCAGACTAGTAGCTGAAAGCCTGTGCTGTCACACAGGTGTAATTCATAGAGTTATGTATGTAAAAAAGCCAATAATGGCTCAGAATTTAACAGGTAGATGTTAACAGACCATGAATCCCAATGATGATTGAACCTGGTGATATTTTAAACCAAAAGCGCTCTCAACCATGCTTGTAGCTGTTTCCATTGCTTCACATTGATTCAACAGACATTCTAGGCTTAAGAGTGATGTTTGGGATTACTGTGTGTGCTGATTGTGTTGTGTGGCAGATTGTGTTGATTTGTGTGTGGGGAGTGTTGTGTGGATTTGTGTGGGTGGCAAATGAGGGGAATGTGCCACAGTGACAGTCTGTGTATTTGGAGTTTTGTGTATGCAGGTTGTGTTGTGGAGGGGAGGCTGTGTTGTGTGTAGGGGGAGTTGTGCAGATTCCTTCATACAACCATTGAAATTTTTGCATGCAAATAACTGTAGACTAAGGGTGGTGATTGGGCTGATATCACAATGGTCTAGGACCCTTGGCATGGCATAGATAAATTCCTTAGTATAAGTGTAAACAGTACGGGTGTAACTCAAAGTCAAAATGGCCGAGAACTTAAAAATTAGATGGTAACAGTCTCCAAATCCTAGTGATGATTGAACCTGGTGATATTCTGAATAAAAAGAGCTTTCAACTGTACTTTTCTAGCTTCACACTGACTCAGACATTCTAGGCTTCAGAGTGACACACATAAGACACACAGTGACAATCCTGGAATCTTATTATATAGATATGCAGCTGATCTAAGGCCCTAAGCTGTGAGGTGGTGAGCCATCTTCACTAATTACAATCAGTTAAAATAAGGAGTGCTCAGTACTCAGCATGCCACAAGATCATGCCTTTACAACCTAGGTTAAATAAAATGTTTTTAGCTTTTGCAGATACTGAAGGATGGAAAAGGCAGGGATTATTTTCAACAGCCACAGTTGGGCATCTACAATGGAGTTAAGATATTTTTAATTCCTCATTGCAATCTACTAGAAGAAGGTTATTTCCTATGGTCATTCTTCAACTTCTAAATCAGTTTTCTAACTAATTCTTAAATGATTTCAAACATTTTACATTTTAAAACTATGAAAACCAAAATAATAAATCCTAAAGAAGAGTTACCCACGTACCAGATTTTCTATTGCTTCAGAAATTACATCCTTTATTTTAATGTGATGTAGCTTGTAGTGTTTGCAGAGTTCTTCAGCAATGGTAGATTTCCCAACTGCAGGAGGACCAAGAACACAAATTTTGACTGGCTGAAAGAAAATGAAGATAAAAAGGAATTAAGCAAAGAGTGTGATTTTTTTTGTTTTGTTTTAAATGACTGGTCTTTCCCCTAGGACCAGTAGAAAATATATGAACAAACAAACTAACATAAAATTGGATACCTATTTTAGATGAACTTTCAGTGTATAAATTCTGCCCTTGGATGTCCTCCTATTTCTGGAGCTCAGTGTCTCCTACAATTCTTGACATCTGGGCAGCTCACAGAGATGGATCAGAGTTTTGGAGTCACATGGTCTGGCCATGCTCCCTCTGCGCCTGCTTTCCTCCAGTTTCTCTGACTCTGAGATGTGGGGAGAGCAGTTTTTAAAGCTCCCACCAGGGGTGGCTCCAGTCACCACCGCACCAAGCGCGTCCTGGGGCGGCAAGCCGTGGGGCACAGCCTGCCGGTCGCTGTGAGGGCGGCAGTCAGGCTGCCTTCGGTGGCATGCCTGCGGGAGGTCTGCCGGTCCCGTGGCATCAGCGGCAATTTGGTGGCGGGTATGCCGAAGGCAAGGGACCGGCGGACCTCCCGCAGGCATGCCGCTGAAAGCCGCCTTACTGCTGTGCTTGGGGCGGCAAAATACATAGAGCCGCCCCTAGCTCCCACATTGACATCTGCCTATGGTTTGGGGGTTTTTTTGGGGGGGGGGGAAGAGTGTCAAAATTTGGGGCAGTGGTAAGCAGCAATCGTCCTCCCTTCCCCCATTGGCCAGTTTTTTAGCCGGCTGTTGGAACCCCCTGGAGCCTGAGCTGCAGTGCATCCTGCCAGCTCCTCTGCACCTTCTGGATATGGCAAAGCACCAAATGAAATCCAAAGGGTGCTCCAGCTGTGAGACTGCCTTCCCAGGCTCAGCAGACAGTGATATGTGCCCAGCCTGCACTCAGCCTTCTGTCCCCAATTCTGTTAGGTCCCAGTGCTATGAGTCAGGCAGGCATGTGGTATCCCCTAGCCACCAGAGCAACTGTGACTCCAACATGGCAAAAATGGACCAAGAATCTATAGGCAGAGCAGGGATAGGCTCCAAGAATGAGGAGGGCCCAGTGACCCAACTCAGGGGGTAATTCCCAGTGGGCCCCTGGAGAAAAGAGAATGCAGATTTACAGGGTCACAAATCCCCCCACTCCACACCTCCTGGCAAGTTCTAAAAATGGATCCTGAACACTCTGGAAAAAGAAACAGGGATCATAAGTAGGGTGACCATATTTCCCTATGCTGAATACGGGACATATGGTAAAATTACTCGTATTCAAGTGAGTTCAGCAGCAATCAATCGTACAAACGTTCAAATTAACATCAAGTTGACTGAGCCCCTGTTAAAAAGAAATACTGGGTAGCTGGATTCTTTTTATTTACCTTCTTATCTTTAAGGCTTTAGGGTTCACACAGGGAGGGGTGACACACACACACACACTCCTACCACCCCCCCACACACCTGGGGAGGGGTGACACACACGCACTCCCATTCATCTCTCTCACACGGGGTGGGGGATTTGACCAACCAACCCGACCCTCCTTGCCCAGCACTCTCCGCCCTCTATGCCTGGCTGGGTCCCCGGGACTGACCCACCCCTGCTGGTACTTGGCACCGCATCTTCTTGAGGCAACACACGGGGGGTGTGCACAGAGGGTCATATGCCCCCCATCCCCAGATTTCTGCCACCAGGATTCACACCAGAATGTGGCAAGCAGCAGCCTTCCAGCTGCAAGGGAGGGGTTGTGGTGGCGGGGAAGGGATGACCTGGTCCGTGTCTTTGCAGAGCTCATCTCCCCTCCACCCCACCACTCTCGTGTGGCTGGAAGCAGCTTGTCCCTTCCTGCCCGCATAGTGTCAAAAGGCAGCTAACACTTCCAGGCTGCTGCTGGCCACTGACATAACGCAGTCACCTCCTGTCCCCTGGCTACAGCGCGGGCAGGAAGGGGTTAAGCCCTAAGGATGCATTGTGCACCAGGGCTCAGGGAACCCAGAGAAGGAGGGGTGGATGAAGAGGGTGCTAAGCCCCTACCTGGTGGGCTGCTGTGGAGCCTGCAGGTTCAGGGCGTCAACACGCTGGAAATCGCTTCCCCTCTGCCACTCCAGAGCATAGCTGAGGGGCAGAGTGGCTTCCCCATGCCAGCAACGTGTGGGGCTTTGGCATATGCAGAGCTTGGCTCTTCCTGGCCTGCGCCTCAGGCCGGAGGGTCTTGGGATTTCCCAGGGCATCAGCCCAGCCAGAGGCAGTGGGGGAAGGAAGGAGCCTGCTGGCCAAGCTTATGGTGAGCTCACTGCTCTGACCAGGAGCTGGTTTTCTGCACAGCTCTTGGAGCAGGACGCGCCCTGCTAGGGGGGATATGGAGGAGCAGCAGGGCTGGGGGGGACGAAGGGGCAAAGCAAGGAGAGGACGGTGGGGGGGCATGGAGGGGCCGATGGGTGGGCAGCAGAGGCAACATGTAACCGTCCGCCACCTGCCACATGTAACTGGAGCTATACTGGCAAAAGAATTCCTTTAGTCAATATAGCATATGTTGGGAGGTGATTTACCTATACTGATGAAAGATCTCCTTATGCAAATATACACTGCATCTGCACTAAAGGTCTCTGCTGATATAGCTATATCAATGTAGCCACCTTGGCAAAGCCTTTCTCGTGTAGACTAGCCTTAAAATCAAAACACCCGAGTAAACAGATGTTTCTTATTTCATTCCAAAAGTCACCATATTATGTTATATCACGAGAGAGCTAATTCCAGAGCCACAGCCCTCTGCTGATTTCACCTGCAGGATTTCAGTTCTAGGGACAACAGGAAAAGTATTTCTTCTCCTTAGTTCTTCGGTCCTTCTTTCAGTTTTAGTTCCCAAATATATTGTATTTGTCAGTTTATTTTGCATCTCTTAACAGCATTGCAAATATTGTCACTTAATGTATATTTATACACTCCTCTTAGAAAAATATCAGAGCACTTCAAAACAGCATCCAGGAAATAATTACCAGTAATCCCCGACTTTGCTTGTATTCTTTGAGGACTTGCCCAATATTCTCCACCAGTCCTGTCTGAGCAACCCACTTAATGTTGAAGTTCTCCTTCAAGAATACAGCTTCCATCCGCAGGTTCACAAGTAACATATCCAAATGTGTTTGCTAAAGGAGCAAAAGTACATTTAATTGCACAGAGAGTTCCCTGTTTGATATTAAAGGGACACTGCCAAGTAGCCTAACCCCAAGATGTAGGTCTTATTTAAAAAAAAAAATTGGAGGGGGTAGGAGGTGCTGCTTTACAAAACAAAAAATTAATAATTTCAAGATTGTTTAACAATTTAAATGAAAAGAGGTTTTATTTTTCATTTAAATATTCCCATGAAGTATTGGAAATCCAGTCACTATACCACTGGCTTATGATCATGCATGGAAACCAGAAAGTGGAACTTTCATTTTCTAAGCAGAGTGAAGGGCAAAAAGTAAACAAAGGGCCCTAATCCAAAGTGCACTGAAGTCAATGGAATGACTCCCATTGACTTTCATGGGCTATGATTCAGGCCTAAAGACAATAATTCAATTTTAAAATTTATTTTAGTTTTAATAATCTAGTTTGTTATTAATGACAAAGAGTTAAGGAAACAATTATGATTTTTATCTTGATAGTCTCTCTCCCAGACCTAACTCCATACTGCGAAGACTACCATCAGTGGGCATTTTGTTACTTTAACCAATGAAGCGGCAGTCATTAATTCCATCTCTCTTAACTCCTGAATCTAATTCATAGATTTTAAGGCTAGAAGGACCTGTATAACACAGACCATATTCACCCAATTATTCGTACACTGAAATATTAAAGGGACACATTCTAAAGTGCCTTTGACAATTCATACCTTGTTTACTCCAAGCTGCTTGCAAGAATACAGAAACAATTCGCATCTGCCACATCTTATTGACTAATCAGAATAAACATTTTTGTAGCTCACTATTTACATCTTATTTCCTCTGTAAAGGCTCAGTTCTGTGCAGGCCTCCTGTGAGGTGCTCACAGGGCCGGCTCCAGGGTTTTGGCCGCCCCAAGCAGCCAAACAAAACAAAACAAAAACAAAAAGCCGTGATCGCAATCGCGATCTGCGGCGGCAATTCAGCGGGAGGTCCTTCGCTCCGAGCAGGAGTGAGGGACCGTCCGCCGAATTGCCGCCGAACAGCTGGACATGCCGCCCCTCTCCGAAGTGGCCGCCCCAAGCACCTGCTTGGTAAGCTGGTGCCTGGAGCCGGCCCTGGGTGCTGAGCATCCTCAACTCACATCAACTCCAATACGTCACTGGAGAGCTTCAGGATCAGGCTCTACATACTAGCAAAAACGCCTCATAATTCTCTATTATGTGGTTTATAACCTGCTTTTTCATTTACTTTATTTATCTAAATATAGTTTATGCACTTTTGTTGACATTTTTTGTGTCATATCTTTGTGATGATGTAAACAATAAGAAAAAAGTACATTGCATGGTATTTCTATTTTCATCTCACATCCCTTCCTTAAAGAAGATATTCAAAAAAGGAAACAAAATACTAACCGTTAAGTCTTTGCTTAAGAAAGCGTTTTCTCTTGGAATCTTTTGGATTTTTCCTGGTCCAACATTTTTGCTAATGCACTGTCAGAAAACAATATTGTACATTAAATTGGGTTCTCATCTAATCCATACTTTTGAGTTGCACAGCAATCTGAAGAACACGTGTGTACTAGTTCAAGTTTAGAGACATGGTAGAATACCTCTGCTGGGCTGTATACTAAAAAAGGAGTGTTGCAAGCTTTCTATTTTATGGACCACGACATAAAGCCAAGAGCCAATCATGGACCTGCTTTCTTTCCCAACACTCCCACTACATGATTCTCAAAATATTTCATTCTGCAGACTACCATCAAAGGCTCTGCAGTCCATGGATTACCATCTGAGAATCTCTGTTCCAGTATGTTCAATTTTCAGTGTCAGGAGGCAAATAAATTGCCAATTACTTCAAAAGCACTTTTAAATAATAGAGAGTTAAAATCACCAGATTGCTACTTCACAGCAGCTTCCAGGTTACTTTGCTGGATTTTGCTTCAAGGCATGTGATTAAACAAAGGATCAAACTATATTCCTACAGTTCAAGGGAAAAAAGAATTTCAAAAAGACACTGCCTAATTACAGTATATATGAACTGGATGAAAACATAAGGTCTAATCCATCAGCCCTTTATCACTGGCAAAATCCCTTTTGAAACTAATAATTTTGCCTGAAAATGGACTGCAGGACTGGGCCCACATTTTGCATTTTGTTTAAAAGAAGTACGCACTATAGGATTTCAAGACTAGTTTTTATAAAATTGTTGTGCAGAATAATTCACGGAAGATTCAGGGACTTTTAACAGAGTGAGGACTAAGGATTTACAAGACTAAAAAGATACCTAGACAAAGAAACAAAATCTTAAGCTGTTTTACCTTAACTATGGCTTGAAGAGTATGTATAGATTCATCCACTGCCACAATGTAGTGAGTCTTTGGCCTATGGTCAGCTATATTTTGTAACACCCTGCAATATAGCAAATGCAATCAATGTCCATTAGTGGTAGGAAAAATATTGTGTCTTTAACATGAAATATAATATAGAAGCAACCCCAAGGCAAGGGGTATGAGGAAACTCTGAAGGCGAATATTCCAAAGCATGTTTCAGAGTAGCAGCCGTGTTAGTCTGTATCCGCAAAAATAACAGGAGTACTTGTGGCACCTTAGAGACTAACAAATTTATTAGAGCATAAATTTGTTAGTCTCTAAGGTGCCACAAGTATTCCAAAGCATGCTATTTTCATGTTGATTTTTATTCATAAGATAATATAATTAGATATCTCAGTTTGGCCAAGACACTTCAGAAATATGGAGCAATGTCTCTAGAAAATATACACCAAGCTGCTACTTGTCCTTTCTATTCTGGTTTCAAAAACTGTGGTGCAGTTCCATGTTGGTTCCATTCGGTTTATGGTACTATGTTCTGGACATGGTACTTCTAGGAATTTCTTGAAAGCATGGCCTCAATGTGACTGTAAGTTATTACTTCCAGAAGGCCTATTTCATGTTGGAAATATTTAAATCTCCATTTGCCTGAAAATGATGTGCCAAAGTCAACTGTAGTCCATTTAAAAAAATTAAAATAAAAAAAAATATATGGTAGCAGCTGTCTGAAATCTCCACTGGTAGGTATGGTTTTGGTATATATATGGATACTAAGCATTTCCAGGGATGGCCATCCCTAAAAAGCATACTTACGCTGCTAAATCAACAACATGAATGGTTGGAAGAAAATTGTTTCCATCACCAAAAACTGGTATTGCAGGAGTCTCACCAAGCCAAGCTGTCTGAAAATAAATACAAATGAAGCAGGAGAGTTATATTTAATTAGAGTTGCAAAAAGGAACATATGTACGGTTGGTGAAACTAGGTACATCCTGGATTTTAATTTCAGTTTCTTGTATGTGAGTATGAGCCGCAGCTGAGTAATCAATTCTGCGAGCTGCTGATTGCCAGCCTACAAAGAGCCTACAAAGTTAGTGGCATTTTTGACAAAACTGCTCAGTTTGGGGAAAGCTTTATTATTATTTTATATCCCAAAGGATATAAAATGAAAATAGACATGAAGAAAGCTTTGGGGGGGGAAAATTACACTATACTGAAAAAAACATCGTTTACCTAATCCCCAACAGGCATACTCCATTGAGGCTCCATGATAGATATGGTCTTACCAACATAGGATATACTGGGATATAGTTCAAAAACTGTGGAATGACTGAATATGTTTTAAACTAAAAATCTGCTAAATGACTCAATGTGGCCATGTCCACACTACAGAGCCTATGCTGGCATAGCTGTATTTATAGGCTGGGCAGAATTTGATTTTTTAAAATATATAATTTCAAGGAATAATATCAGTGTTTATTTTAAGCATTTTTCAATTCAATAAAGACAAGTGCAAAGTACTCCACTTAGGAAGGAAAAATCAACTGTACAAATACAAAATGGGGAATAACTGGCTAGGCAGTAGTACTGCTCAAAAGAATCTGGGGGCTATAGTGGATCACAAATTGAATATGAGCCAACAATGTGATTCAGTTGCAAAAGAAACTAATATTCTGGGATAACAGGAGCATTGTATGTAAGATACTAGAAGTAATTGTCCTGCTGTATTTGGCACTGATGAGGCCTCAGCTGGGTCTGGTTTTGGGCACCACACTTTCAGAAAGATGTGGACAAATTAGAGAGAGTTCAGAGGAGGGCAACAAAAATGAAAAAGGTTTAGAAAAACTGACCTGTGTGGAAAGGTTAAAAAAACTGGGTATATTAGTTTTGAGAAAAGAAGACTGAGGCTGAACCTGAAAACAGTCTTCAAATATGTTAAGGGGTTTTATAAAGAGGATGCTAGTCAGATGTTCTCCATGTCCATTGAAGGTCGGACAAGAAGTAATGGGCTTAATCTGCAGGAGGTGAGATTTGAGTTAGTTGTTAAGAAAAACTTTCTAACTATAAGGATAGTTAAATACTGGAATAGGCTTCAAGGGAGGCTGTGGAATCTGTCGGAGAAAAACAGAGTTCTCACTCTCAGGTTGGGTGCAGCAAGTCAGATACTGTATTATCTCTAGCAATTGCGTGGAGGGAGAGAGCTAAACAGGTCTCTCTCCAGGTAAACGATTACAGCAAACATTTATACCTTTTGTTACATACAATAATGGGCGACAGCTGCATTTTGTTTATACATGCACCTCTACCTCAATATAACGCTGTCCTCGGGACTCAAAAAATCTTACCGTGTTATAGGTGAAACCACGTTATATCGAACTTGCTTTGATCCACCGGAGTGTGCAGCCCCGGCTCCCCGGAGCACTGCTTTACCGCGTTATATCCAAATTTGTGTTATATCGGGTCACGTTATATGGGGGTAGAGGTGTACATCCTCCTGATATCTTATTTTCCTCAACAATTTAGACTATAGTCTGCATTCCATACTTATCTAACACAAGGTCACAACAACTTCTCATACAGTTCTTTCCCACTCACCTCACACAATCCTTGCTTCTACAAATCTCACGTTATTAGGGTTACAGCTAGCCTGACTCTTGCTCACACAAGGGGACTGTTTGAATATGAAATCCCCTTCAAATCCCTGTCAGTTCTTTCTCTACTTCCACAAATCCTAGTCCATGGAGGTTTTTAAGAACAGTTTAGATAAACACCTCTCAGGGATGGTCTAGATTTACTTGGTCCTGCCTCAGCACAGGAGGCTGGACTAGATAACCTCTCAAGGTCCCTTCTAGCCTTAAATTTCTATGATTCCATATTGGCGTAGCTATGCCAGTATAGGCCCCCAGTGTAGACACAGCATGAACTGTCAGAATGAAGAGTTCTTCCGGCATAGTAATACCATCTCCACAAACAACATTAGCTATGTCAACAGAAGTACTTTTCTGTCGGTATAGTTGTCTCTCTAATGGGGGTTTTGCCAAAATAACTAAGTTAGTTAGTGTGTGTATTTTTTTCACACTCCTAGTCGAAACAATTATGCTGGTATAACTTTTAAGTGCAGACTCTGGGAATGGACTTCAAGAGGCATTGGAACAGGTCCTCTGCCTTGTTAGTAGAGATATTCAGAGTACAGTAATACTGCTGTTATTAAAATCCTTTTCAATTTACATTTAAGAACTGTGCAATATTAAACTAAACTTCACCAAAATTGAAAAAGTCTACCTTAAAAAAGTAGTGAAATATTCCTTCTTCAGCTCCATACTGAAGTCCTGAAGCAACAACATAGGTTGAAAATTTGTTTTTGTTCTGTGGAGTAAAACAGGAAAGTTTTAAAAAACACTATGAACAGTGTTATAAATTAAATTTTGTTGACTTACCGTGAAATTGCACTTGAATTCTATATATGGAATAGTTCACTTACATCACTTCAACATGGAAGTGAGATGAAAGTCCTACATAACTACTAATGGGGAAATAGGCCTTTTGCTAATACTGCCAGCAGAAACCAATAGTGAAACTAACAAGCAGGCTAGGAACTATCATTCCCCAAAGTATCCTGAATCCAAGTGAGATTCATCAAGAAAGACAGGCCACTGGTGCCAGCGGGGCTAATTAAATCTGCATGAAAATGATCTAAGTGCAGCTCTTCTTTTGGATACAGAGGATGAGGAGAATTAAGTATCTTATCAACATGTTATATTCACTTTTTTGAGAGAACTTCTTTCAAGAGACTAAATTGTTACATTCCCATCCAGCATCTTTCATGACCTGAAAAATCAAAAGCAATTCTATTAAAAGTGGTAACATGGACAAATTGCTAAGGATGAATACAAAAGAATAGTGCAAAGTATGCAGGGACAAAATCTGAAAGGCTAAAGCACAAAATGAGTTACACATCACAAGGAACATTAAAGGAAATAGGTTCTATAAATACATTAGGAGCAAGAGACAGATGAAGGTTCTCTTAACAGCGAGGACTTTCAAGTGTTTCCTTTAAAGTAAGATAAGTTTTAAAAATTTCCAGGGGAAACAAAATTCATCTTCATGCTGTGAATATCCTAGACATCCTATCTATGTGACTCTATAAAATAGCCTGCAATCATTACTAATGGAATAGAAGCAGAAGTGACAGTCTATTTTTTTCACTATGAGGATAATGTATCTCTTGAAAACACATTTCAGAAACATATAACTAAGACCACTGTCAGTCAATCTTTAATTTTATAGACAAAATACTACATAAAGGGAACCTTGTTTACATATTTAAATAATTAAAAGTTTACAATAACAAACAGGAAATATTTCTCAGATCAGTTGACTCTAATAGCTTTTTAATAATCCCTGGAATAAAAGGATGAGAATCAGGGGAGATTAAAGATGGAATATTTACCGTAGACCATTGAAATATGGGCTAATGGGCCTTTGAAAGGATTCAGGACTTCTAAAAGTATCTTTTTAGTGCCATAAGTCATGTGCATGAGAATGTATTACCCACGATTGTGACTATAAAATTCGTATTAACATTTTACATCAAGCTATAATCTTGCAATGTAGGTCTGTTGGGATATATATATATCTATATATAGATATAGATATATATAGTGACGGACTCAAACCAGAAGGAGAAAAGAGAGTGGGGGAAGGCAGGTGTATCAGCCTCAGGATGAGCAGGTTTCTGTTCCCTGGATAGCCAAAAAGGGGCTGCTCCAGGCCACTTGGGACACCTGGTGCCAATTAATCTGTTAAGGCCGTTAGGCTAATGGAGACAGCTGGAACCAGTCAAGGTCCCATTCATACTGCTTAAAAGCTCTCCTTCCAGTTCCCACAGGAAAGCCCCAGTGAAAGAAGCTAGAGGAGAGGAAGTGTTGCTGAAGCCTGAAGTAAGGGTGAAGCTAGAAAAAGGGGACCATGGGGAAGTGGCCCAAGGAATTGAAGCAGCTCTGGGTGTGAAGGGAAAGCTGCCAACTACTGCTATAATTAGGGTCCCTGGGCTGGAACCTGAAGTAGAGGGTGGGGCTGGATTCCCTCTCCCCGCTCTACAGAGACCCCCTTGTGAAGGGAAGCAGGCCTCTGTCCAGGCAGGTGGCTGAACTGCACCTACTAGCTCAAAGGAGCAACAGGGTGCATTCCAAGAATATATACTGCAGAAACAGTGGAAAAAATTATACTGGATCAACAGGATGTGTACATAAAGAAGTTTCCCAATGTATAAATTAAAAACAAAGCAGAATGTGGTAAAAATCAAAGCATGTGTTAAAATTGTGGGGGACAAAATGCCATGATTAATGTATGTAAATTCTTGTGTGGCTCAGAACAGTAAATTATGAAAGAAAAATGAATGCCCAATTGCACTGAAAATTATCCCGTATGGACCTTGAATTTAAAGTGTAAATATGGTGCTACAACTTTTTTGTAATTGGCTAATTGCTTATGCTTGCTTTGCATTTTGTGCTTATTAAAAAAAATTGTGTATGTTATAATTTAGAAAAAAATAAAGGTTAGTGTAAGTATTTAAAATAATAAAGCTGAAAGCATCGGACAGTATTCCTATGGAATAATAGCCATGGCTTCAATATTAAGAATCCTCATAATTAAAAAGAGTAAAAATATGGTTTCTGGCTTTTGTTTTTTGAATATTTGAACAAATTTAGGGGTATATAAATATACATATGGAAGCACCTCTAAAATGAAGGTATAAATCAAAGGAAATAATACATTCTACTATTTGTGGAACGAATAAAAAAATAGAACCAAACAAAACCAAATGTAAAAAAAAAAAAACCTTTTAAGGTAAAATTTAAAATATGGTGGAAAGATGGCAAAAATGTGACATACAAATATCTAAAGCCAAAATTTTTTAAAAAGCAATACAGGTATTTGTACATACTAAGGGGGAAGGACATCTAATGTTTAAATTTAGTTATAATAAGAATCTAAATATAAGTACTCTGGACTGTACTTCTTAAAGTTTAAAATTTGATGTAGTCACCCTAAATGTGACAAATTATTTTACATGAGTATTAACCAAGTCAGTGGCTCTTAAATTATGAAAACGTGGTGTAATGGTAAATCCTTCCATAATAAGATTAAGTTGCTTTTAAAAAAATAATGGGAAAATATATTTTGGGAAATATGGTTTTGTTTATTAATCAAATACCAGTAAACAAGATTGCACCAAAAATCATGGCAGATGAGCACCCATCTAAAAAAAGTAATCAAAGCCCCAACTATTGT